AGAGACCTTGGGGTATTAAATACTCCCTCATCCAAAGAAGCCTCTCTCTGGAGGTGGATAGTTGAGTAAAAAACACAAAGTACTACACTGGTTGGTTGAAACAAAATCTTGGTCTGGATTTTTAATTTCTGGACCTGAACTGTCCACCTCTTTCTCAGTCCTTGATGTAGTCATCATTTAGATTTGATTTTCTTGTTTAAAAAAAAAAAAACTAAGATCTCAGTAATTAAGAGGAACGCGTTTGGTCGAAACTTCTTTAGTACAATCAATTTAATCAGATCGTCTGGTTTAGTGCCCCAAGAGACGTTTAATTTCTACATCTGATATATCGACCGAGAGCGCATTGCTGCGCTATTACATCAGAACAACCGGCCCTGTGATTGATGCATTTCCTTATATGAGCAGGGCGACGAGAAACGTACATACTGAGAAATGCGCACATACCAAAGCATTACCCGACGGCTTCGGCCCAGAGATTACGAAACAAGTTTTACAATCGAAAGCGTACGGCTTTGGTTGTAAAACACGATCCAACCCCAAATTAACGAATCAAATTAATGGGCTGGAAAAGCCCCAGATAATTCCCCGTTTTTACTTTTTTTTTTTTTTTTGTTTTCCAGAAGCTTCATTAAAGTGCGGTAACGATTCTGGGAGTGTTCAATAATTCCTTGCAGATTAGCACTTAAGACCGTGTTTTCTTGCAATTACGAGCCATTACGGGCCCCGCCTCTCGCCAGAGAAAGAGGGACGCCTCATGGCCCAAATGCGGGAGTTACAAACTGGACCCTCCCAGAAGGGTTTCCAGTGGTAATGGCCCAGAAAAATGCTGGAGAACGGCACAACGGCTTCCTTGACCCCCTGAACTCCTGCCCCCTCCGCCGAGGTGCTTTCCAGAGCAACAGCACCCAAAGCAAACTGTACAGCTGCAGGACATGCGCGGTTCACTGGCTGCAATTAGGCCTTTAATATCATAACTATTGCAAACAAGTCCCACGGTGGCCTAGACGAAACAGACGAAGCGTTCTGTCCTTTGCGGCGCTGCCCATTAACGATCGCGCAGTCTCCAGCGAGCGGGACCAATGCCAGGGCAGGATCGGGCCGTCGGTCTGAACTGGGGCCAGCGCAAGGCCGGTCCAACCCGACTGGGCGCTCAACGGGGCTTTATGGCTGAAACTGATATTTATCTCCTGATTGAAATCAGTAGGAGACTCTGTTAACGCTGTGTCAGCAATACTTTTTTTCCCCACAAGCCAAAGCGCCGTTGATCTGGCCAGCGAGGAGCGAGGCCTTTACCTCCAGGTTGGAAAGTATGCGGGGTACTGAGCATGCTTCTCCCGGGCGAGCCGATTGGTCAGTTTTATGATTGTCTCTGTTCGATGAAGCAAAACTAAAAATCAGCCTTGATGTCGAACATGGCTGTATCCCACGCAGGATCACGCCCCTCCGGGTCGAGGAAATCTGATTAGCTGCGGCCTCTTTTGCTTTTTTCCAACCCGGAGCAGCGTAAACACGCGGGCACGCCCAAGCGCTCAGGGCCCAACAATAAACAATCTTGACGCAATGGAAAAAAAAAAACGCAAAGTGCTGGAGCCAAATGGGCAGCGAGCTGCTGGCACATTCTTGGGACGGCCATCCACAGGAGAGACTGTGTCCCTGCGATTCTCCAGCCTTCGTCTTCGTCTCGAATGACAAGCGTCTGCTTTCATACCGACAATAAAATTCGATGATGACCGGCAGGCGAGCCTGTGGAAGCCAACACAGGGCTCATAATTTGATTGCAGAGGTAATGGGACCCTGCAAAACACGCTATCGTGGCGTTAGGGAGACCGGAAGCTGGATTTAGCTGATGCTACGGCTTTTTACTTGAAGAGCCCCTTTGGAAAATGGAGCCAGCGGCCACGAAACCCACAGCGGGCGGCCGGTTGGCTCTGCTGTGCTACGCGCCCTTAAGAGGCGGGCTCACGTTTCAGGGGGAATTTACACACACGGTGGCCTAATGAGGCAGGGTCCCTCTCAGGGATCAACCAAGGAGATTCACATTGACGACAGCCAATTTACCCAGAATTTTATCCATTCAAAACACTGGAAATATGCCCATAGTGGATGAAAAAAACACATAAAACCACTTAAACTCTAGCCTGTGTTGGTGTTAGCTAAAAATCCAAATAGTCACCTATGCCTATAAAAATATTATTATAAAACAATATTTGTTCCACAGCATCTCTCCAAGCATTCAGTTTTTATTTTCCTAATGGGTTTTTCACACTGCATGGAAATGCCAAGAGCAGTTTGGCCAAACTGGGGTGGCCTAATGGTTAGGGACCTGTGCTTGTCCTGGGAAGGTGGCTGGTTTGAATCTCCGACGGGCAAGATACTGCTCCCCGGGGTGCTAAATAATAGCTGCCCCCGGAGGTGACATATGGGCTAAAAGCAGAGGACACATTGTGCTGTGGTGTGTCAGAAATGGTATTTAATCACTTTCACTAATCAATAGACTGCGGAACCTCAAGACCGGGGCAGGCACAGGTGGAAGCTGGAGGAGCCTCATCCACAGATGCCCCTTGCCCAGCAGGCCCCATGGGGTGTGAAGAAGCCACCAAGGTTCATGAAACCAGTGGACATAATGGATCAGTTCTCCATGCCACAGGTCTGTGCGGAGAAACACAGAGCTGCTATATTACAGCGAAGACCTTACAGCGATAGAACCTGACAATTTAGGGAGGGAAAACTCGGAACGTGTTCCATGGCTTCATGAACAGCTGCAAGCCCTACGTGCCTCTGAGAGACGAACGGCCAAACGGCACCAGGTGTCCGGGGCTGCAGGAACAACCTGCACAGCCTGAGCAAACACAGAGTCCGGGTGGCCGTTTTAAATATTTAGAAACCAACCCTCTTCCTATATGGGCAGGATCTGGTACGAGCAAGCTTCCCCCGAGCTC